TTATTATTATTTTTACCTCCCATTCCTACATATGTGCATTATTCATTTTACTTAATATGCAATATTTATATTATTATATCGGTTATCGGCACTTTTTGATTCTCACACCGCGTGACCAATAAATAATTTTCAGCTTATCATTATACCATGTTACGTTAGTGTACTTTGAGCAAGACTGATAACAGGATACCATAATACACATGGGTTTAATTAAATTGGTACTGTATTTATCATTATGTTATATTGCACATAACGATAATTTGTATGTACGTACTTAAAAGTTTTTTTTTTTATGCAAGGATTTTTTACATTTGAGTTTTTGAGTAACTTTGAAAGTTGTTTGAAGTTGTACATGTTATACATATAAAAAGCTAAGGTGGAATTTCTCTAGAAAATTTGGAATATAACTTAACACAAAAAAGGTCATAACAGACCAATTTTTTTATCATTAAGTTTTATTGCTACTTGAGGAAAAGATGACCCGTCAATTTAGGATGTACTACCTTTTACGGGTTAGAATTAATACTTATTAGTTTGTATATTTAGTGACAGTAAATTTGATTATGTTTTGATATGTAGTTGATATGTATGTAGTAATCATAAATTTTTTATTCATAACCTTAGAAGCAAGTCATATAAGCATATATTAATATACTATACTAAAATGGTAATTAAAATTTTTTTTTTTTTTTTTGGAGTATAAATATATTAAAAAATTCAATTCATTTAGATTGACAATGGAACGTTAATCTCCTCTTTGTAAAGAACCACTCTGGAGATTTCGACATTTTATTTAACCTCAAATAATATATATTTTTGTTTTGTTAATAATTTTTTTTATACATATTTTTGCTCTAATTCTTTTCGACTTTTAAAAGTAAAAGTTCGGTTAATATGTTTAACATGGAAAACAGAATGGTAGACTTTAAAATAAAAACGATAAAATTGTGGTTTCTGAGGCGGGTACGTGTATACTATATTTTACTTGCAGTGGCTCCTGTTACTTAAAGAGCAAGGCTTTTATGTTGTCTGTAATGTAACGTTTATGTGTTAATAAGAAATTTTGACTCTTTTAAAAGTATGAAAAGATGGTCGAATCGAAATGGACTCGCCTCTTTATCATTACTTCCATTGTCCAGACTTTCATTACCATAATAATTCAGTCGCTTGTTGTCGGCCGAAATCAATACGCTTCTTCATTTTTTCAAGATAGTTGGCAAGAACAACTTAAGATCGATAATTCTACTAGCTTCGAATGCAAAGCAAATATTGTTGCGCGTATGTACAATATTGTTGGAGAGAATATCATAATCCTACTTTCAAATGTATTTTTATTATTCTTTTGTTATGATGCGGTATGTTTACTTATTCGTGACGTTATCGTGATGTTATTTAGATGTTATTTTTAGATGTTATTGAAAATTCTATTCTATATTTTGTAGATTTTCAACCAGAATACAATACAAATAATAACTGTAGTAATAGTAAATTATGCGATAGGAATAGTTGCTGCTGTATGTATTTTTATACACTACTGTATAACTTTCTTTACTTTCTTTTCATTTGCTTTTCATTTGCTTTTCGCGAGTTATTTATATGTAAAGTTTTTTTTTTTTAGATACAAATTGTAGAAATTCATAGATGGAAAGACCAAGCAGTTGAATGTGTACCAAGTTTTAAAACTTTCAATTTCAAAGTAGAATTTTATGAAGTACCATCAATAGTAATATTATTACTATGTGCGACAATGATGGGATTTTTTACTTGGAAGTTATATCAGCAATTTGGATGGAATATTTACAAGAGAATTGGTGCTGATCGTAATATGCAAAGTAATTTCTCTTTAAAAAAATTTTTTCTCAATTCGTTATTAACTACATTTATTCATTTATTCATTAATTTTTTTTTTTNTTTTTTCTCAATTCGTTATTAACTACATTTATTCTTACTTTCAGAAATTTTTAGGTCAATGTTAATTTTTGTCATGCATTTGAAACTTGATCTTTTCTTTATGGTGGTTTTATCAGTAGTGGCTTGTGTAGTACTCTCACAAAATGATAAGCTCCATTCAACACCCTTGTATTGGTTCCATGTGATTGTAACAGTCCTAATATTTATTTTACAAGGTCTCGCTTATCATATGGTAAGATTTTAATATTTGTGCGCAAAAGCTTGTTTTATTATTTATTAACTTATATAATTAATGTTTATGTTTGTGAAAAAAAGTTAAGGGAGGAATCTCATTTAGGAATGAAAATATTTATTGGTTTATGGTTAATACCGATTGCCGACTTTATAGCTCTTCTCATAAAATCAATTGGTACAAGCGCACAGGATAGTTGGTACTTTTTCATAATTTTTAGTAAGTTCTTTTTTACACTTGTTCTCGTTGTAATTTTCGAATTTCTTGGTGTCCAAATATTAATTAACTATTTTATTTTTTTAAATATTAAGTCGTTTTTGGTATTATAATGGCATTGGTGAGCATATTATTTTAATTTTTATGTATTAAAACTTGTATTAATTCTTGTATTAATTCTTGTATTAATTCTTGTATTAATTCTTGAATTTAATTTAAATAGTTGACAATAATATGGTCAATAATAGTATTAAACAATTTTGATAAAGGATTGAAACGACATTGTAATTATCATCATTTTATATATATATATATATATATATATATTTTTTTTTTTTTTTTTGTTATTTAATTTCTGTTTACATAACACTAATAAACAAATACACAATTTTACAGTAACGACTGGCATAGGTAATATACAACGTCCGCCGATTACAGAACAAACTTCACAGACTCAACCTCCAAGTCGCTGGGCAATTGATGATGAAGATGATCAATCATACCCTTAAAAACCTAATTTTACATCATTCATTCAAAATTTCATTTCAAACTTTTCATTCAAAATTGTTCATTAAACATAATACCGTAAATACATTCTTTCTAACCCTTAAAAAATTTTACAATTTTAATCTTAAGTATCTGTAACTTTAAAGGTTAAAAAATAAGAATTATTGTAATAAATATATTGTATATTAGTCTGTTTCATTTTGACCTGAACGAATCGTGTATCAAAATTTCTAATTTCTCACGTGAATTTTGAAATATAAAATAAATTTGATCTACACAAAATTTACTTAAATATGAAAGGATTAGTCGATTATACTTCTTCGGATAGCGATAATGAAGAATTAGATTATGATATTAATCAAAGTAAAAAACATAAAGAAACACCATATTCTGAAAAAAATAATGAAAAACGAAAAGCTGAGGAGACCGATAAACCTGTCGAAACAAAGTGAATAAAATCTTTTAAAACATGATCAAATATATATATATTTTTTTTTTTTACTTTCTTCATACTAATAAGTTTCAAACTTTAAAAGTAAAAAACGTGGATCTGTTTTAACACCGACAGTAACAACAAAGAAATTACCACCGTTACCCTTAGAATTTTTAGAACTGTATCAAGGTATAAACAACTTAAAAGGTTGAATTTATTCAAGTTAGAAGATCTAATAAATGTTATGATACATATAGGAATCCGATTAACATGTTAACTGAGTATGCGAATCCAATTTTTAATTCAAATTCAAAAAATTATAGATGAACGTCGAAAAAATTATACGAAACATATAGAAGATCCATCAAGTCATCAAGGGCGAGTACGAACCAAACCACATGTTGAAGGCAATTGGGCTACGCACGTATATATGGAAGGTATATATATATATATATATTTATATATGTATATTTAATCATATAATCATTATCGACAAGAAATTAATTAATGAGTTATAAAACTATTATATAGTTGTTATCCCTGAGGATTTCAAATCATTACTTCGGAAAATGAAAATTTGTGCGCAGAATGCTGCGAATGATGATATAGAAATTATTTCATATATCAATAATAATCATGATTATGATGATTATGATGATAATGATGATTATAATGATAATTATAATAATGATGATGCAAAAGAAACAAATTTTAGATTTCCTAACACGCAAGAAATATCTGGAGATTCGAAATTACATATTAGTTTATCTAGACCTTTATTTTTAAAATATTTTCAAATTGAAAGATTTTGGGACAATTTAAGAAAAGGATTTGAGGATAAAAAACGGTAAATTATTTTATAATATTTAGCATTAATTAATTAATTAATTAATTAATTAATTAAATTATTTATTTATTTCAATAAAGTAAATTTTAATTTATTTTTATTTTTATTTAATAGATTTTCTTTATCATTTTCTGAAATTAGCAATTTTACTAATGATGAAAAGACTAGATCTTTTCTTGCTTTAGAAGTTGGTAAAGGAATTAATGAAGTATGTATTAATTCTTATTAGAAATTTTAGTAATTTCAAACGAATTCTTGGTATTTACTTTATATATGTATTATTTAGTTGAAAACATTGTTGGAACATGTTAACAAAGTAGCAAAAGATTTTAGACAAGAAGAATTTTATGAGGTACGTAGAGAGGTAATTCATTAAATTTTAATGGGTGGTAATTATTCAATCTTTTTTTCTTATATTTCATATTAATTTCAAAAAGAATCCTCGATTTCATGCAAGTATATTATGGTCAGTCGGAGATAATCCTATATATGAATCATTACGTGATGCACTTATAAATTCAGGATTTGAAGATATCATTAGAGATTATGTATTTATTATCAATAAAATGGTTTGTAAAATTGGTAATAAAACATTTTTTATAGAATTATTATGATATTTTTTCAATAAAATTATTAATTAGTTGTAATACATTGTTGAATGTTATCCAAATATATACATGTGTAATCTTGATATAATTTGATTAAAATTTGCGTAATTTGATGTGATAATACTTTATTAATATATAATTTGATGTTATGTAACCCATTGAAATCATGTGACATTGTATCGACACGATAAAAAAAAAAAATTAGTCATCATATAAAAGTCAAAGCAATGAACTTGTTAACAAGTTTGGAGTTGCTGGGTATCGAACCCAGGGCCTCTTGGATGCAAACCAAGCGCTCTACCACTGAGCTACAACCCCGTACTTATGAAGTTTATCATTTTATAAATTTTTTATATAAATAAACTTAATATATAGGGATCCCAATTTAGCTACGCACATCTCTAAAACTTCGCGCACTATTCTAAATTAAAAAATTTTAATTTTTTATTATCTGTTATTGGATGAATTACTATGTACTGTATGTTTAAATTATTCTTGAAAAAAAAATATGCATCTTCGGCTTTACAGTATTTTTTTTTGTATAAACCCCTCCCCCCCACAAATTAATTATTATATAAAAAGTTTCACAAACTTTTTTAAAATTCGATTTCAAACAAATGTTTGGTTTCGACATATGTACGTCACGATTACGTTTAAACATGTATGTACAATACGTAAATGTACATACGTTCTTTGTTATCGTAACTTGGAAAATAAATAAAGAGATAGATAGATAGCCCTTCATATGATCAATATGATCAATGTGCATTTAAAAATAATTTTTTTTTTCCCTTTAGAATTTATCCTATTAAAGTATTATAATTATATTATATGGTGCAGATCATCAAAACATGAATACATAATTGCTATTAAATTTAATTTATTATACTGTATTAAAATCTATCCCGTGTAACACTTTTATCATTTGAGTAACATTAAACTCACTAACTAATTCTAATTAATGATTCCTGAAAGCAACGCGAGGATTTTTATAATGATCATATATTATTATTCTAAAAAAAAAAAATCAATGATTCCTTTTTTTTCATCCTTACGCCTAAAAAAAAAATACTGAGAAAAAAAGATCACGTACGTGCCAACCCCCAAAATAGTGTTTATTAATCATCTTTTCTTTTTATAGAAGATTGAACGTTGATTAAGCATTTTTAAAATATGCAAGTTAATCGGTCTCCTGATGTCTGGGCATCTGCACGTTATTTTGACTATATATTCATGGGCGTTGTTTCGGGATAAAGTATTAATTTAAGAACTCTCCTGATATGTACCTGATTGACTACTGTAAAACTCATCATATTTACCCGATACTTATCCATTCGAGTTACGTACTATTTAGGGCGTTATTTTCGAAACTATGCCATTTTTTTTAAGGTTAAGATTTTAGAAATAACGCCCATGCTCTTACATTTTTCCAAATTAAAAAAAATTGTAGTTCACTGAAAGCGTAAGAATCGACACTTTAATATTAACGAGTGTCAATTTTTTTTAATAAAATTAGTTCGCCTGTTAATCTTTCAATAAAATAATTGAAACCAAATAACTGAAACCGGTCTGTATATCATTAATGAAACAGTTTCCCAATAGTTTAGGAATATTGTGAAATAAGTACTACCGGTAGTTATCAGTCGTTTCGTAAATGATAACTGATTGTTCATCTACTAAAGACTTGACTGATAACTTTGTTATCCGACATGTCTGACGTAAGCACTGAATGATTTCTGTATAATTTATTCGACCATCTCCTAATACAAATACAATATGTAAATATTTACTCACCTCGTATGAGGTGAGTGTATTTTGTATAATGTATTAAGAGGTGACCAAATCATAACAACGATCCTGAACATGCAAACTGTATAACCAAAGCGATTCTAAAAAAAAACATATACAATGAATTAGATAGAATGACTTATGGTAAATGTTGCATTGGCGTACTATGTAAATCAAACCTATATGTGGTTATATAATAAAATTTATTAATGAAGATTTTAAATACCGTAAAACTGCCATATAAAAGACCCGGGTCTGTTACATTTTCTTAATTTTAAACCCGATAGTAGGCCCATGGGTCTATTGTACGGATAGGGGGTCCAGTACCGGTCAATATAAATATAGCAAGTAATACGAATTACATTTTATTTTCAAGCTATCCGAATGTTTATCCTATAGTATACCCGGGGATGATACATGGTGGGTCTACTATCATGGGGGGATCTTTTATATGGCAGTTTAAGGTAGATGCACAGCTCAAACGGTTAGATGATAGTTTTGGATAAAATTTTGCACAGACCGTTATTGCTTCTTTGCAAACAAAGTTATAGAGCCATTTCTTTAAAAAGAAATTAGATTAAGCTTTTTTTTTTTTATTAAGAAAAAAAAAAATATATATATATATATAATTATTGCAAATTTTTAAATTGATGCACAGCTCTAACGGCTTGATAATTTCAGATAAAATTTGGCACAGACCAGCATTACGTCTCTACAAAGAAAGTTATAGAGCCATTTTTCATTTAATTATGAAAAAATTTTAACATTCTATAATTTTTTTTTCTTAATTATCTTCTACATATCTAAAAATCTTTATTAATAAATTTTATTATATAACCCACACATAGTTTTGAATTACATAGTGTTTCGCACGGATCGGATCGGACGGATATTTTTAAAGATCCGAATCCGATCCGAAATTTCAAATCGGGTCCAAGTATAGATTCGGATTAGTGTTTAAATATACGGATATACACGGATCCGAATCCTGACCGGATCTTAACATATGACAGATCGGATCTTTTCGGATCTTTATATGGATCCGAATTCGACAGACCGAATCCGAATCTTGATTTTTGGGATTCGACGAGTACGGATCCGGTCTGCGGAACACTATACATAGTACGCCGCACACCCCAATGTTGCATGGTTAATGAAATATCATAAGTTTATAAACGATACTATGTTAAATTTTACTATTCAATTTCATAAGCTATTAAACACGTGAATAAGCGCATTCGTTACAAGTTATTTACATAAATAAGTTTTTTAACAACTAGCAAGAACATCATCTAAAATTTGTTTGTCTATGCCTTGATTACTACCATATTCTTTGAATTATTAACAATTGCATTTTCTTGTGACCAAAAAGACAACTTCAGCAATGCTGTACATATAAATAATATTGTTTTTAAGAGATAATTTCACGCATTCTCAATGGTTCTATAGACAACAAACAGCAAATATTTTTAATATGTTTTATCTCAAAAATAATGATCCTTTTGTTCCAATATTGAAATCGACTGCAAATCCTTCCGGAGGATAATTCTATATTTGATCAATTTATGCACTATTACAACAGAGATTAGCCGAAGAGCAAAAATATTTCTTTATATTTACGAATTTTAAATTGATGTTTGTTCACATGAATATTACAGTAAAGAAAATTTTCTAACTAAACACTAGTGTATGAAACACGAGTATTAATAATTGATTTACAAATCCGTGTAACATATCTGATATAAATTTAAGTAAGGGTTAGCTTTAAAGTTGGAAAGATTTATAGTTTATGCTAAAATTTGATAAGGAATATTTTTTGTTAGAACCCGAAGTAAGTTTTATATCGTACACTAGTGTACAAATAGAAATCGTCTACAGTGAAAATAAACTTATATACTGCTTAAAAATTAACACATATTCTTCAAAAGTTTAAGCGTGTAATAAATAAGGTTCCTCCACCCTACGAATACGGTGCGCCGTTTTACTAGTGATAAACCAAATTCCTTATCGCATCCCTATTTTTAATTTTTTAATATATAGCTGGATTTACATGATTTGTTCATTAGATAATATTCTTTTTTTTAATTAAAATATTGAATATATTGTTTTCCTTTTACGTCAGGATCTATGTTTTTTTGAATAGATAATTGAGTCATTGCCCCTTTGTAAACAATTTTTTCCAAAACTAGTTAAGTCTAAATTAAACTATTTAGGTCATTGGATCTTATATTTTATACAAAAATAATTTATACGAGTAATGCGATTTTGTGAATTTTCGGCTAAGCCAAAAATTTTAAGAACTATATGACCTATGGGAAAAAAAAATCAAAATTTAAATGTATGCAAGAAAATTATGTAACATAATTCAATGTTATATTTCTGACTTATTTTACTCTTTGTACTTTTCAGGTATCCTTGGTAATTGTTGTGTTCGTCCCTTTAATAGATGAATTAAGTTTTGGGTAAATCATGATAAAATACTGGATATGATCTGGTCCTGGGAATCGTCCTGAACTCGAATCCTTAAATCACAGCATAATAGACAATTGGTGTTTGAATAATAATAATATATATTATTATTATTATTATTATAAGAAAAATAGCTTTGATTTATAAGTATTTACTGTGCCATGGTAGTTTCGTTAACCCTAATGGCTTTTGACTTAATTACGCTCATATTACTTAATTATTCGCATCAATTAATTATTTATTATTAACGTAATTAATAATCTGATTTGATTAATCCCTGATCCTAACTTAATTATTGTATATATATCATGTGAACAAGCTAACCCTGCCTGGGTCTTATTCAAGAATTTAATTTTTATAATTGAATATTACCGCACTCGAATTCACAATCTTTGTAAAGCAAACACTTTATGTGGTAAGATATTATTATTTGTGGAATATTGTATTTACATATACTTATCAGATTGGTCAACAAGTATAATTTATCAGCTTCGTTTTTTTTTTTTTAACTATAAATAATTAGAACTTTGAATATAACCTACTGGTATATCCGTTAGCACAACTATGTTGCGCAACCACTTATTTAGACAATTCATCCATTTAGATTTACGCAAGTGCAAATAATTTAGATACTTATGCATAAAAGCTAGATTTCTGTTAAGCGACTAACTCGTCATTTTCAGAATTTTTTTTAATGTGTTTACCACCAGATAAAATCCAATTTTTGCAATAATCAATAACACCATCTTTGGTATTTCCATAATGTACTACAAAATATATAATGCAATTAATTGATCTTGTAGGTGAAAAAACGCAACTTATTGAATATACGTACGATAATGAAAGCCATTGTGAAAAGAACGTACTACACAACATATAAAAAATTAATTATATAAACGAAAATCCAAAAAAAAAACAGTAACTTATTGAACGTACAGCAATGGAAATGTTCATTCTCTGAGTCTTTATCCATCATTTTTTCTTCTATTAAATTGTAAAACTCTTTAACAGCACCAGTTTTTGACACATTGTCACCAATTCCATACATTAACAGAATAGGT